TGAGGTACCTGAGAATACACATTTCTAAAAGACAGCAAGAGTTATATAATTATTTATTGTCCTTTGATTAAGGAAAAAAATTTAAAACCTGAAAAATTATCAAAATATAAAATTTCGTGGTTAGGCAAAATTGCAGCAGTTAAAATGAGTCTCTTATCTCAAATAGGGATGTAAGCGACTAGTCGGGTAATCAACTACCCTATAAGCCTAGGCTTATCAGGTAGTTGAGTCACTACTTACTCCCCTCCTCCTCCCGCCCCTCCTCCCCAGCCTCTACATCAGAGACAGCAAGGGGGCAAGCAGGAGCTCATGCTGGGGGAAGCTGGCTCAAAGCCGGTTCCCCCCAACACTGTTTCCACAGCAGGGAGGGCAGGGCAGGGCAGGGGAGGCAGACTCACAGCAGGGGACTTGGCACAAGCCGGGACTACTCAGTCCCAGCTCATGCCGGGTCCCCCACTGTGGCTCTGCCTTTTAAACGTAGTAAGAGTCGGAGAAGTTTTGACATTTGGACCTTATGGGTATATCAAAATTCAGCCCATTGTTAAGAATATATATTTAGATCACTTGATGAAACACAACTTGCAAAAGACATCTAAATCTCAGTATATCAATGCCTACAGTTTAGACATCTCTCACCACACTCCCACTAAACGGCAAACATACGTAAAACTGACGAAATTTTAAAAACTACTCACTACATCCATAAACAAATTGGCTTACTGTTCCTTCCAGTAACATTTTAAAGATTAGTTTTTTCCTCTACAAAGCCTGTTCATGAAAAGTTGACAGATATCAAAACTGAGGAATGGGAGAACATATGTTGCAATGGTTCCCATACTTAAATAAACACATTAATAGAATTTTAATGTTGTTTTCTTTCCTCAGTAATACCTAACGTCCCTTAGAATTGTACAGGGATGAGCAAATACTGGTTGTACAGGGATGAGCAAAAGATTTTTCCATAGTGATGCATGTGATCAAAAATAAGACCTTTTGGAAAGCTGTTGGAGACTCCATAATGGAATTAAAATGGTGTCAGTTGTCAGATAATTATTGAATTATCTTGAGAACTATGCATCTTACAAAAGCTATAAACACTGATCACTCATCTCTTAGCTCCTGCTAGATTTAATACAAAAAATAGTAGAAAAGGAGTGACTACCCTAAATCTGTTACTTTGTATCAAAAAGTGTCTGTAATTCTAGTACTAGACAAATTAACTCTTCAAGTTAGAGTCTTACTTGGTAAAAGGAAAAAAGATAATTGCTTCAAGAAGTTCCACCAGACTTCTAAGTTTGCTGTAAGAGAGTCACCCACCACCAAACCTAATAGTTTGAGAACTTTCTTTGAACACCTAGGAAAGCAGAAACTCCTTTCACAACAGTTAAAATTAAACTCCATGTTAAGCTATTAAAATAAGGAAAAAAGGTGGGAGGGGAAAAAGGAGAAATCTTAATATTATACAGGGTTTTGACAAGACAATGAACACATTACTCTTCCAAATGTAAGAAAGGCTGAATTTTGGATCTGAGCATGAAACAATTAAATACTGAAGAAGAGGGAGACTAAGTAGAAAAGCTAACACCACAATGTGATCAATATCACAGAGAAAGTGACTAGTAGTAGGGGGACTTCCATCGGCCAATTTATATTCATGTATGCACTAAGTTTCCATTTAAATTGTAAAATAAGTTCTAAAAGAAAAGATCTGTTAATAAATACAATACGCCAAAATCTGAACCTAAAGCGAGGGAGAAAGCCAGGGTCACCATTTAAGCTCTAGATTCAAGCTCTCCTCTACCACAACACACTAGCTTACAACCAAAAGTATTTATTAAAAAAAAAATCTGTTGAAAGGCTCTTCTGGAGATTAACTTTGTCACTCTCCAGAGAGCTGGCATTTCTATTTCTATCATCTTGTGACCAGATTTTCAGCCCACATTAGCTCCCCTTTTACGCCACTTCCATAGCTGCCCCGGTCCTAGTGGAACACTGCAAGGTGGCATAAAATTGGTCACAACCTTACAGATCATTCTGGAGCAGCGTGGCAGAGAGAGGAGCAGTTGCTGGCGTATATTATAGAATGGGACAGGCCTGCCCCAGAGTAACTTAGAACAGCCCTTGAACTCCTAAATTGTCAGCCCCGAAAGGGGATTTGGGAGACACCTTTCATGCAGAACTCTCCCTCCCCCGTCCCCCTGGTGCTCTAAGCACTTCACTTTGCCAGACCCAGGATCTGGACTTTGATAGTCACAATTTAAAGCTAAGAGCCTAAACTCACATTTCTTTCTTAGGAAAATGAGAGGAAATTAATCAAATGAATTAATTGCTCCACATTAATTTCACTGACAGGCTAGAATTAGCTTTCTTTTGGAGCTCTCTTGCTCAATCTGTCCATGAGCCACACTTTAATGAGACAAAACACACCCTGGAGGGATCTGTAAAATAGGTTATTACCACTGGCACATTTCAGGGTTCCTTTCAGAATGAAGGAAGTGAAGCAGAATGTGTCAAATGCCCTAAGTTAGGAAAGTAAAAACAAACAATGAAAATAGATAGCCTCAATCATCATGTTTGTTTTGCCATGGCTATGCACTGCTAGACTGAGTGCAACTAACAAACTCCAGCCTAATACGGGGAGAAGTGCTAAAGACAACACCTGGAAACCGCCATCATCACTGCACAGTGGAGGACACAGAAAAGATTTAATCACTTTCAGACCTGAATTCAGTGGACTTCTTTGCAGCTTTAGCTACCAGTAGGTGCATCTGACAAAGTGGGGTTTTGCCCACAAAAGCTTATGCCTAATAAATCTGTTAGGCTTTAAGGTGCCACAGGACTCCTTCTCATTTCTGTGGGTACAGACTAATACAGCTACCCCTCTGATATTAGGTGCTGTAGTTATCCAAAGTTTACACATAACATTAACTGTGGCCTAAATGCATAGCATGCAACACGGCTAAAAGATGAGGAAACAAGAATTAGTAGGTCACAAAGCCCAAAAGGAGATACAATTCATTCCTTTAATAACGCTTTTTGTACTGTCAGCTTCCTTTCCCCTCCCTCTTAACCATGTTCCTCTGTGCGTAGGAGGGTAACTGGTTAAACTTGAATTTAACTTTTTAAACATGATTTTACATCCCTATTCTTCTATACCTCTCTTCTCCTCCACTAACAGTAAAAATGTCTTGTGTGTAAGTTGGAGTAAATGGCATTAGCTGGCAAGAATCTATTCCACAACATGAGCAATGGAGCACTGTCCAATTTCCTGAAATCTCTTCCTGCATGAGCTACTACAACAATGAAATAATCTGTGGCTGTGCAACAACAAATAGACACATGCAGAAAGGCCATACCCCAACATTCCCTGCAGATGGCTGTTTCCAAAACCTTATCTTCTGCCCAGCAATTCATTCCCAGGAGCAGCTTTCAACGCCACACCTAGCCCTTGACCTGCTGGATTTGCCTCCCATTTATAATAGTAAGATTTTTAGCCAACTGTGGGACTTGGAGGTAAGGCCCTTTTTCACATTCTCGAGCTTCCTAAAAGCCATAAACAATAGCATGTGCTGCCAAGCTGACTCAGCCCCTGCAAAAGTAACATCAGTTTTAAGTACCTGCAGCCATGGCAACTATATTCTAAAAGGAAATAATTGGAAGAGGCTTCAGCTGTGAGTGGGAAAGTTTCACTATCTTCAGACTTGTGTTGGTTTTACTATGGCTTTAGTGATCCTCAGCACTTTCATCGGTGACAACCTCAATCTCCTAGTTTAAGTAGGGAACTAATTCTATACAATATCAATGTCCCCAATGATTTTGGAGAGTTCATATTAAGCAATGTAATCGAAATGTCTGGTGACGTCTATGCTGGAGGTGACTGGCAGACGGGGCTGAACACTGAATTGGGAGTGAGTGTCCCCATAAAGACCTACCTTCTTTACCAGGTTTCTACATGCACCATAGTGGCATATCCCACGGTTCTTTTTGAAAAGAAGCTCTATCTCAGTCAATTGCAGGAGAATGGGTCAGTCCTTCCAGGGGACATTTTGGTACTTAAAGCGGGGTAGAAAGCACTAAGGGGTCACAGACCTGGCCACACAAATACACACAAGAATAAACACAGTCAATCTGTGTCTTGACAGGGCACCATTGAAGGACCATTTTAGCAAAAGTGCTGGTCCCAGATGGGGACGGCTGCCTGCCACCACACACACCTGAACCACTGGGAATAGGAGAAGGCACTGGAGGGCTATCAACTCCTGAGTGAGGTAGCTTGGCTCCTACTCCTCACTGAAGAGTGAGAGTTAAAGCAGAGCCAGGCTGTTACCCCCACCCCAGCAAGCTACTCTGGGGCTTAATGCATCTTCGAACCCAGGACAGGTGTCTGCATGGGGGGAGGGGAGTTTAAGACTAAAACCAGGATTTACTGTGCAGTGGAGCCAAACCCAGTGGTTCATCTGATTAGCAGGATGGCATTAGCACTAACAGGTTAACTCCGTTGCTTCCTCCTCCTCTTTCCTTTCTTTACTGGGTGCACTTCACCCAGCACAAGTGATTGGCTTTTCCAGGGAGAAGCGACACACTGTAAGACTGGGGATCCCGAGGGCTGCATGAAAGCAGTGGGCTTTGCTAGTGCTCGGGCTCTGTCCGCCGCTCTGCAAACAGGGACGATCGCTGCTGCTGGCCTCCGAGCGGCTGCAGTGCTCCGGCAGGCAAAGGAAACAGCGCTGGCTTGCACAGACTGATCCCATCTCCAGGGCTCCCCGCAGCCCCAGCCAGCTGGCTGGGGCGCAGCGCTGCGGCCTTAGCTAGGGAGGCGAGCGCTGTAGCCAGAGGGGTGCCCTAAAACACCGCCCACTAGCACCGCAGGCAGCCCTGGCCACGCTCCGCTCCCGGCCCACGTTAAAGCAGCCAGCGGGAGCCCGCTGTTCGGGCTGGCTGCGGGAGAGCGGCGAAGAGGCGCTGCCGCTCCCGCCCGAAGGCGAGAGGACGAGACTCACCTGCTAACCCTGAGCAGGTCTCAGCCCCGGCTCCGCTTCCACGCGCCCCAGGAGCCCGCGCCCGGCTCCCGCCATCCGCAGCGCTTGGGCTGCCCAGCCCGGAGCCCGCCCCGCCAGCGGGGCTTCTGCTGAACTTCCGCCGCGCACAAACTTCAGCCCAGGCGCAACAGCTGGAGGAGCGGGTCTCTGCCAGGCCGCCAGGGGGCGCCCCCGGACACGCCCCGTGCAGCCGCGGGGCTGGCGCGCTGCGTGTAGCAGCCAGACACACACACACGCCCCCCGGCCCGCCCCGCTGCCCCGGGCTGCCACCTGCGAGCCGGCTCCAGCAGGGGGAGGCAAAGCCCCCAAGCGGCCAGCGCCTCCTGGGGCGAGCTGCGCTGCTCAGCCGCGGGACCGCGCCACCTGCCCCGCAGACCCTCCCCCCCATCAGGCCGCCTGGACCCGGCGCTTCCCGGGGGACTCCGGCGTGCGGAGGGGCTCGCTGACCGCGCTGCACGGGGGCAGCGCCGCGCACACCGGCGAGTTCCCCCAGCACCGACCCGCGTGTGCCCGTGCAGCGCCATTCAGATCCCGGCAGCAGCCGCAGCTGCCTCGGGCCCCGGCTGCAGCGGGCAGCTCCCTCCGCGGGGATCCCTGTCTCTGGGTCCGCCGGTCCCCAGGCAGGCACCGCCGCATGGCGGGCAGGCGCGGGGCCGGGATCTCCCGCCTCGCCTGCGGGGATCCCAGCCGCCTGAGGCAGGGCCGGCGGGCTCCTACCTTTCGCAGCATGCTGGGCGGGCGGGGGCAGGCGGCTTGCACAGGCGACGTGCTCCTGCCCTCTCTCACGCGCTGGCCAGGCAGCGGCACATTGCCTGCTGGGGAAAGGGGTCTTGCAGGCGCGGGGGGCGCTCACTGAATCCCCGGGCACCGGAGACCCTCGCGGCGCTCCCGCAGCCCGCTCCGCTCGCACATGCGTGTGGCACCCGACTGGAGGTGCCCGAGCAAGCAGGGCGCCGTTATTTGCGATCAGCACTGACTCACGCAGCTCTAGGACCCCGGGCCAGCCTGGCACCACAGCAGCCCGGGAGCCGCGCCACGCAGCCGCCGCGGGCCGGGGGGCACCGAGACACACAGAGCCGCAGCTGGCCAGTCTCGTGCCGTTCTCCCGCGGCAGGGCTGGCCCCGGTGCTAAAGCGGGGAGGCGGCTGCACTGAGGATCTCCCGCGAAGGAGTCTCGCAGGGTTCTTGGCGTTACAGGGGCCGCGCTCACTCCCCCCTCATCAGGCGCACACCCAGCCGCCAGGACCCTGCCGCGGCTTCTATGTCTCACCCCCTCTGACTGTCAGGCGGTGGGATGGAGGGAGCTGCTACCTTGTAGGAACGTGCTACCGGTACTACACACCCGGCCGGCAGGGGCCAGCTTGGGAGGAGAGAACAGCTGGCCCCTTAAGGGCTATAGGGGCAGAGGGAACAGCTGCAGACAAGAGGGTGAGGTGGTGGAGTGAGGCCCAGCAGGGAGGAGTAGAACTAGGGTCTAGAGCGGTGGTTCCCAAACTTTTTGGGCCACAGTCCATCCTGCTCTAGGCAGACTTCTCAGTGGACCACCAGCCAACCACCCATAAAAACAAAATGGGCACAGGAGTGGTTGGGAGCAGGGCTGGCTCTAGGCACCAGCAAATCAAGCACGAGTGTGGGGCGTGGGGGGGCACCAGCAGGGAGGAGTAGAACTAGGGTCTAGAGCGGTGGTTCCCAAACTTTTTGGGCCACAGTCCATCCTGCTCTAGGCAGACTTCTCAGTGGACCACCAGCCAACCACCCATAAAAACAAAATGGGCACAGGAGTGGTTGGGAGCAGGGCTGGCTCTAGGCACCAGCAAATCAAGCACGAGTGTGGGGCGTGGGGGGGCATTTCCAGGTAAGCAGCTGCCCCAGGCAATGCTTGGCCCCACCCTGCCCTGCC